GCCTCCCTCTCTACCCGCTGACCAGATAGGCAGGAAGGTGGTAATGGATGGAGTTGCCAGAGTCTTGCCACCCTACCCCCCACACTAGGGGTACGTCTAGACTACATGGCTCCATCGACGGAGCCATGTAGATTTGTTTGTTCAGCAAAGGGAAATGAAGCCACGATTTAAATAATCGTGGCTTCATTTAAATTTAAATGGCTGCCCTACTCTGCCGATTCGCTGTTTGTCGGCAGATCGGGGCAGTCTGGACACTCTCCTGCCGACATGAAAGCCCTTTATCGACCTCCCTGGTAAACCTCATTCTACGAGGCATAACGGGGAGGTCGATAAAGGGCTTTCAGGTCAGCGCGGGAGCGTCCAGACTAGCGCGCTGAGCCCGGTATGACATCCCTTAATTGGTTGCCGGTTACTTCCCATTTCAGGTTGGTTCAGCTGTGTTGAATGCCACACCTAGGATGTGTCTAAACTACATGGCTCCATCGATGGAGCCATGTAGTTTAGACACATCCTAGGTGTGGCATTCAACACAGCTGAACCAACCTGAAATGGGAAGTAACCGGCAACCAATTAAGGGATGTCATACCGGCCTTCTCGGCAGGAGCAAAATTCCCTCCTACACTGGTACATCCGAGTATCGTCACTTACCCTAGAAGCTCAGTGTAGCCCACAGTAATTTCTCTGGCAAGATTTCATTGACTATCCTCGTGTGTCACGTGCTGTACTTTTATCTGAAGCTCTTGTCCTTTCAAGTGCAGAGAATTTCCATTAGTATGAACAGGAGTGACTCACACATAGGCACTGAGGTAGAACAGCCCCTGAAGTGTTCTGACAGTAATTAATTTTTTTCTTGTGTGTGACTTTGTCTCCATAGCAATAATAAGAGCTATAGGGCTTTATAAAATGCAAAATGGCTCTCGCGGGTTGGGGAGGCTGTTGTTCTAAACTATTACCGATGTGAATTTCCATCCAAAGGAGTAAAAGCGGGAATGGGCACACGCTATGCTGTAACTGCACTAAGAGTATTAAATCATACAAAGCCGTTTAAAAACGTTGGGTGGGATTTTCAAAAGCACTTCTTCACTGAAAACAAAAGGAATGTTCTTAATTTGGGATAATTGGCAAGGAAGACCCAAAACCTCAGCCTTTAACTCAGTTAGGCAGGTTCCCCTACAGGTTTTAACTCAAGTTGTTACAGCCGGTCCCCAAGTTACGAACGGGTTATGGACCAAACACTTGGCTGTAACTTGAAATGTTCGTAAGTTGGACCCCATTGAGTTACATTGTGACTGCACTGTTCATAAGCGCGGTCGCGTTCATAACTGAGGGACTGCCTTTACGACCGCTTAATGGAAGGTTTGGTTGTAAACGCGAATGGTCGTAAATCGACCGTTTGTAACTCGGGGACCAGCTGTCTTTCTATCACAGCCTTGATATATCCTTAGGCACTTTGGGCAGCCCAACTTTTTATTATTATTTATAGGGTAGCAACACTCGAAAGCCCCACTGTGGCAGGAAGGCCCTGATCCCCAAGCTACAATGCTACAACAATGGTACAACTGTAAGTCTCAAGACTGATGGGTTGACCTCAGCCACCTCACTTCCATGCGAGAAGGGCAGTCAGATCTCCCAAGTCAGGCAGAGTAGGTCTGGCTCTGGCCTGAGATGCCTCTCAGGCCACGTCGACACTCTGAGGAATGCTCAGCACCATCGCCACGCTGGGGGATGATCCCACAGCTAAGGCTTCAGCCCCAAGCCTGAACAGCTATACTCCAGTTTTACAGCGCGGTGGCCTGACCTCAAGGAAACAAAGTCTTTTTAAGGCAGACATATTGCACACACAGTCTGGGATTCAAGTTTGAGCTCAAGCTCCCCTTCCGTCTGACTAAGGCCTACACCCAGGTACTAGGCCGGGGGTGGACAATAAAATGGTGGCAGTTTGCCAGCGTTATCCCCTGGCAGGCTGCCACCACTATATTTATCTGTGCCTTTGCAGGCAGGGGCACTGGCAGCTCCCATTGGCTGCACATTG